TTTGGATTATCTATTTTGTCGATATGTGATAACGAAATTTGGCCAAATGTTTTTCACAGATTATATTTTTATGTTTGGAAAGCGGAAAATGAAAAAGTTTTTCTTTTTACAGCTGAACTCATAAAATATTGTTCAATACGGTGTGAGAGTTTTTTTTTGGTTCAAAAACGACGTGAAAGTAATAAATAATTACATGAGAAAAAAAATCATGAAGTATATCGGAAACCACCATATGAACATATCAATCTTGAGACACTTAAGATACAAACAAAAAACATATGCATGACCAAAATGTTCCTTCAAAATTTCAAAAATTGCTCGTGAAAATCAACCTCCGTGTCAAAGACGCGCATATTTTTCTATTACATTTGGGGATGAAGTTGTTCTCTGAATAGAATTGCATACCAAATCGTCGAGGCAGATTGTTTAGAGTTGATCAAGATGATCCACTCTTCTATAGAATGGTCGGCTTTTCCCGATATTATAGACGCATTATGCATAATTCCTAACAGGTCATTCATGCGTACTCTATGGTGGATTGTTTGGCCCACTCTTCTAGAATTTGGTTTCATGTGTTTTGATTTAATTGTAAGCTTAAAATAAATAACATGTATTTCAAATTTTTCTTACAAACTTCCAATGCGATTCAAGAACGTTAGCGAGAACTGATTCCTTAACTAATGAGTGACGTTACGGAACAAGTAAATTAGCTAGAAAAGAAAAAGAAAAAAAAAAAAACAATACTTTGCAATTTTTTTCAATATTTTCAGAATGAAATGTAGAAACTTGAATCTATGATCATCTGAGTACTGGAAAATAATATATGGCATGAATCATGATGATATAATATATCTAATATCTATGTGCTTAATTAAATCAATCGGAATTGGTTCAATTGATTAGAGAATTAGAAATTACACTTTCAAATTTTACAATGACTCTTATCAGAAGATCCAACTCGAATTAAGCTAAACAGAAAAGAAAAAAAAAAAACATAAGAAAAAGGGTCTAAATTTGAATCATATAGAAACTGCATGGATTCACAATTATCATCAAATGAAACAAGAAACTAAAATCCATCAAACGACGACGCATTCACATTTGTGCGTTGTGTCATCTTAGATCATCGACACATTGTCACACTATCATCACATTACATGCCTAGGAGTAGTGTCAAAGGAAGAAGAAGAGAGAAGATGATCAGACTGATGAGGTGGATAATGAATGGCTAAGTAAATAAGCATTAGCATCAGCACCACCGGAATTCCCATCAATATCATCGGCGGCGGCGGAAGCGGCGGCAGAACGGCCGGAAGAACCACCAATAGCACCATCACCACTCCAATCAGAAACATTTCGATGATCCTTTTGTATGTAAATCTTATTTACTTTCTTTTGTTCCTGCCCCTATATGTGTGTATATATATAATGACATAAGTTTTTAATAGGTTTTTTTTTTCTTTAATTATGTTTTTGTTCGTTTTCCTTTTTTATGTGTGTTAGAGAGAAAGACGTTACAGCTTACAGGTGAAGCTCATGCACTGACCAACACTATTTGCTTATTCGCCCAATGACAAAACCACCCTTTACCATTCTTTTTAGTATTTATTTTTATTCAATGTATGTTAATTAATATAGGAATTTGAAATATTTACTTTTAATGTCTTTTTATTCTTATTTCATGTAAGGGAAAAAATACCCTCCATGTTAAGTAATAATCAATGATTTTGTTCTCTTGTTAATGAAATTGAATTTTGATAAACCATCCATTTAAAGTATACACATTTTAGAAAAAATGAAATGTGTGTGTATTGTTGATATCAGAAAAACAAAAAGTAAATTAACTTATATATGTGTGTGTGAGTTGAATATCATAAGATATTTTTTTTGAAAATATATAAATATATGTGTAAATATATTTAAAATATATGTATAGCAGTATAGGTTGTTCAAAAACAAAACTAGAAAAAAATATAGAGGGGCGTTTGACATAGGTGAGGCTAGCTATGAATTAACGTGTCGGCTTAAACTATTTCCATTAATGTGCCATTAGATGACTGAAACCGCAAGGAGGGTTGGTGAATTTTAGAGGAGAGAGTGTGTTTGATACTCTGTATCTGAATCAAGTCTTCCTAAGTGTATTTATTTCATCTTATTCCATTTTACATATATCTAATCTAACCCAATTTATTGCGATTCTCCATTTAGATTTTTCTCAACGGCTAATAAAAAGGTATGTTTATTTTTATCTTTTAATTTTAAATGTAAAGAGATTCTTTATTTATTTTTTTGTTTTAATCTTTATTTATTTCTTCAAATAAAAAAGTTTCGATGTTTGTTCTTATAGCGTAAGTGGTGAGGCTTGTTTCTTAGGCAAGTGGGGATCGGAACATTGTTGCTTCTCTCTTCTAATTCGATTTTGCATAGTTTCTCTCATATGTTCTCCTCTTTTACAGACCCCTAACTTCTTTTACTCGGATTTTTTTTTCTTTTGTTAAGATGTAAATTATATTAAGCTAAAACTTATACAAAATTAGAGGCTATCCCCTAACTTCTTTTACTCGGATTTTTTTTTTCTTTTGTTAAGATGTAAATTATATTAAGCTAAAACTTATACAAAAGAGGCTATCCTTTAATCTAGATTAATCACTGATTCATTATATGAGTTTTGTTGGACTTAAACAAAAACAATGTGGTGGGTAAGAAGATTAATCAGAAGAGATATAAAGTCGTGAAAGTCGTGAAAAGAAGTAGAGAGGACTGTGGAGAGCAGAATCAAGGTCGGTTTAATCCGTCCTTTGAAGGATAGCGAAACAAACCCTTAAGAAACATATTTATCCATAATTATGATCAACCTTTTTGGTCTTCCTTTTTGTAAATAATTATATTTGTTTGTTTAGTAATATATTATTATTTTATTTATATATATATATATATATATATTATGAATAAGAAGAGCGCATTATATTTATATGCCACACACTTCGGAACCCATAAGAAGAGTTCCAAACATTTGACTTTTGTCTTGGAACATTTGAGTTTGTAGTCAAAACAATCACATTTGGTGTCTAGGGCTTATATGATGATGAGTCACGTAATCATCACTTAACGTCGTTCCACAATTTATCTGAACTTTTTTTTCCCTTTTTCCAAATGTATCCCTAAGGTTACGATTCAGTCGTTAAAGCCCTTAATCTCGTGACCAATTAAACAATAAAAACAAAGAGCAAAATTTCAAGACGTATGCATTCATTCTCATCATTTGTATGTGTAGGTGCAGTGGATCTGATTTTTGTGGACAAATTAAATGCCTTCTCGTATGCTTTTTGTTTTGTCGAAAGATAGAGACTTGATAAAGCGAAGACAAAATTTTCTTTAATCATTTATAAAATTATTTAATTCTTTTTGTTCTTTTCTCTCTTGAATTTGGTCAAATATCCTTTTCTTTTGTACATTGTCCCGAATATCACCCACACTATTTCCCCGGATAAATCATCTCATATAGTATATGACACATACTTCACCGGACAAAATTTCGTTTCAAATATTGGTTTATGGATCTTTCTTGTTTTAGTTTCCAAAGTTGATGATCCAAATTTAGGAGCAAACAGTGTTAAACTGTGATGTCATCTTGGATATAAATTATAACTTGTTAGACAATGGGGAAGTTCGATGGAAATAAAAAAGAAAATTATAATAATCTCATCACCAAATATATCATCACAAGAATATCTTCTAAATTACCATCTATATATATTGTTGACAAAAAGGATATCTGGTAATAAAATATTTTTAAGATGATTAATTAATTCGTTTTCATTTACTCTATTTTAAGTCCTTGGTTTTGAGTGGTTAACACAACAACATCAACAAAATGTAGTCCTTAAAATTATCAGAATCAACAAAAATTTCGTGATTAAGTTTGAAACTGTTTTCTTTTTAACCCACTTGTTGGAAAATTGGAACGTAGTGTGTGAATAGATGCATGCATGATAGTATTTGTGAAGTCAATCCATCTTTCTTTTGAAATTAACACAGTTCTTTGAGTTATATCATTAGAGCAACGAATTAGATCGCAACGATAATGCTCATCCCCAAACTATTTTCACAATATAATTCACATATTCGTTACACAATCATGAGTTAGCTAGTGCCTCTTTTACCCGCCAGCCGTCGTGCCCACAAGTCAAATTTCTTTATATTTGTTCTTCATTCCAGAAATCATTGGCACAAAACTAAATTAATCTAACACAATTTTACATGTGGACGTTTTTTGGTCTAATAGATATATCGAAAGGGTAAAGCATTTAGCGAGTCACTAATTAGGTTAGATTCACCCAGTATATCGCCCAAAAAATGACTTAATTGATTAGGACAACGATACACGGAGAAGGAGCGCATGCTTCTTGTTTTTTTAAAACTAGAAAATGTGAACAGCCGACGTACGTTCACTGTCCAAATGACCTTAGTAAGATGTAAAACCAATAGAATAAAAAGTTATAGAAAGATCATTAATCCAAAATCACTTTTGATCATATTAAAAGAATCTAATTGTGTGTGTCGATGACTTGTGAACAGATGGCACATCCACTTAGTCTGTTTCTCGGACATCAAAGGACGATTCCAAGTTTTCCAATGTGTAAATAATATATGTGGGGTCCACACTAGACCCAAATAAAAATCTAGTTGTACAAACAAAATTTATTAAACAAACAAGTGATAGATATTTATAAAAAAAAAAAAAAAAAAAGCAAGTGATAGAATAGATAATAATAATATAAATGTGTCTTTGATTACAAATTGTGGTGTTGCAATTATCAAAGTAAGTTTGCATCTTAACCGGTATAATCAAATAGAGTATTGGTTCCAATCTAATACTAAGGTCTATCACTTTTAACATCTTTCTTCGGCATCTTTTGATTTTTTAATTTTGTTTTTTTTTTGAGTTTATATACCACGGCTTCACCATTTGTTGGTTTAGTTTAGTTTTTTCTTTTGAATAATTAATGTATGATGTTTTCATTCCTTTTGGAAAATATATACATAATCTTTGAACAACAATCGATTTAAAGAACATGAAAGATAGACCCTTTGATATCTCTTTTTGTCTATAAGCCATTTTGACCAATGAGTCTGCCACTTCATTACATTGGCGGGGAACCTGTTTAAAATCAAAAAAAGGTTCCAGTTTAGTTTTGAGACCAAACTAAACATCGGCATACAGTAATTTATAAATTAACCTATAGATTACTTGGTAATTTCAAAATGTCAAAGGGAAAAAAATGGAAATAGAAAGTCAAAAGGGAAAAAGAATGGAAATGGAGACTCAAAGGAAAAAAAATGGAAATGGAAGTAGAGATGAACATATACAATTCATTTAAAAAATGTTCTTCTACAATTAAATGGAAGTAGAGATGAACTCAAAGAAGAAGGCTTCTACTTCAATTAAAAAATGTTTTATTCTACAATTCATTTCATAATGTCACGCTGATAAAACAAAATTCTTCTACAAAATACGAAAAGAAAAAAAAAGAATTGAAAAGAAAAAAGAAAATTGCTCAGAGAAAGTAATTAAAAACTGTTACTAGAAATCCTTGAAAAGAAAAAACTGGGAGATCTATCACATGACATGATCTTACTTGCACGAAACTAAAACTAATTAAAATCCCTTAATTTGCTCCTTAATAACATATACATAGAGACACACTTATACATATTTGTGTAATGCATATATGTATGTACGGACGGTGCTCAAGTCGCCGACATCAGGGGTCGAGAGGTTCCACGGCGAGGCTGGGCTCATTAGAAGGAGAAAAAGCCAAGAAAATGAGGAGAATCAGGAGGAGAAGAGGAAGGAGGAGGAGTGTCGCCGGAGGCGGTGGAAGCGGCGGCAGGAACGGTGGCAGAATCAGAAGAAGCAGAGAGAGAAAGAGAAGAAGTGCGACGGATCTTGCCGTGATCAAAGAACTTCCGGTCAAACCCATTGGCTTGGGTGTGACATCAAATCTCAGCCGTTGATCATGAACCCTCATTTTCCATTAGTATTTAGTTTATCAACTAATTTTTTTTTTTTTTGAAATACTCCTGCCTTTGTCTTAGATCCTTCTGGCTTTGGTTACTTATATATATAGTGGCAAATGGGAAAGTTGAAATGTCTATCTCTATGTTTGTGTATACGTGTATGTATAGCTTCTATATTTTTGACACCCCAACAAAATTTCAATATTTCTTAACTAAAAAAAGTAAATACAAAATTTAAGGAAAATCCAAAAATGTATTCATTTTGTTCTCATCCAGATTATTTACCAAATTTTATAGTTGAATTTTACGAATTGTATTATTTTTTTTTTTGGTATTTATGATTATGCTGACAAAATGTATACAGTATCTTTATGTTTTGATTAGTGGTAATTTTACCTCTTTTTTTTTACTTTTAGTCGATGATTGTGTATATACACCCTATTATTGACCCTGTCCAAAGTAACAAAAGGGCCAAGTCGAAAATAAATAAATAATAGAACCCCACTCGAGAAAAGTTAAGACTAATTATACGATTAAGTAGGGAGTTAGATTTTGCATTAGAAGGATATAAATGCATAGTCAAGAAATGTGCAAAGAAGGGTGATTCCAAAGTGCCGGTTTCAGGTCACAGCTGTGATTTATGTATATATGTCTTGATTCAAGTAATCAACTAATTTCGCTTTCCTGCCTTGTTTTTACTCTCTTTCGTGTTTGTTGCTTCAACCATAATTGTTACTCATTCTCTTTATAATGATTATTGTATTTGTTTTTCTTTTTCGTCAAAAATTTGTTTTTAAAAAAAATATTTCAACAAAATTCCAGTCTTATCCTTATAAGTTATAGATAATATTTTATTAATAAAAAAAAATTAGTTGAGTTTTACTGTAGTAAATACATGTGTTGTATTAATAAATGGTATGTTGCTTAAAACAACGCTATAAAATTGTGTGAATAGAATTTAAATGATCTATAAAGAAGCAAATAGAAATTTCATGTGACTACTTTAAAAGTTGACTCAAAAGGGAAATACAAACTAATTTTGCAATTATCAATGATAAACCTCACTATTACCTATACTCTTTTGATTTTAAAACATTAAAAAGACTAATGTAACCCATTATGTTTAATTTCAGTAGCTAGTGAAAATCTGTTGTTGTTGTTAGATTTCATTGTAATTAGTAAACTGTAACAGGTTCAAATTTAATCTAGTTACATGATTATTATTAGTTGTACTGAAAACTTCTAGAAGAATAAAGGCTTTAAGAAATATTTTACTGCAAGCAAAGAAAAAAGGTAGATGCATGAACATCCCAAAGCTTTTTAGATATTATAGGTAAGTTGACGGAGACCGGAGGCTGATGTACTTTTCTGTTGTACATTGTTTTTGGAGTTCCCAATGAGGTCCTTTTTGTCTAAAATCTATAAATTCTCCTCCTTGAGAAATAAACAAAATAACTTATTTGCTCCCTAATAACTTAATGCAGATAGACAATAATGCGTTTAAAGTTTGAACATGGTAAACGTATATCACTAATACAATATTTAATATAAACACGATAATATTAATGAAAATAAAATAGAGCATTTGCCGAATTAAATGAGATAATAAAGCAAGTTGGTTGGTGCCAGCAAAAAAAAAAAAAAAGAAATTGAGAAATTTTCATTATTCATACATTTTGAATTTGGAGGATGCAATGCATCTAACAGCACTGGTTTATATGCTTTGCCGTGGATTTGGCCTTTCTTTGGTGTTTATTTGACCATTTGGTTTATTTTCAACATTTTTCTATTTTGAGTAGTTTCATTTTTTATTTGGTCAGCTCCTTCTCAACTTGGTTGGCCTTTACAGCTTCGTTGATGCAGTCGACCCAGAAAAGTTATTCCCTTTGCAGTTTTTGGTTAAAGAATTTATGGTAAGACACACTAGAAAGAAAGATCTAAACATTTCGAGGATCTTTTTGTTTTCTAACAACATACTGTACATTATATATTTGCATAATTAGGTAATATAATCGATCATCTTAAAATTGTAAGATTTGTTCATGTTAAAATTTTAAGACAGGAAAAATTAATTTTGAACATAATATAAGGTATTTTACTAGGATATTATTTTTAATTACAAATATGCTTGTATACTTCAGAATTATTAAGAATTGTAGATGTGAAATTTTTCTCTGCTCCCCTTGATATATTTTGAAAGGAACTGGGCCAAAATTATTCTTCCAATCAAGGCCCAAAAAATATCATTCACCTAATTTTTGATTAGGGAGGCTCTGAAAAAGAAGAAAAAAGATCAGGCTCTGAACTGTGATTTTAATATAATTGGGACGAGTATAATGTGTGTTTAAACACTGTTTCATCATCAAAGATTTTCTTTTGTTTTAAGGGTTTTTGATTATGTGATTTTGCCAAATCAAAAGGAAAATTTGAACATTAAAAAGTTACAAAAATGAGTAAAGATTTTCAGAAATTATTGTTTTCAGAAAATTAGTGGCCGCATATTTTTTTAAAATATTTTTTTTTTTGGTAAAATGTGAATTTTATTATCAAAAGGAACAAAGTTATAAACAGAGTGCTTGGGACAGATCGTTTCTAAGACCAAAAAAATATATTAAAAAGTCTTAGGAACTAATACAAGAAGAGATAACCCAACAAGATTACATAGTCAAGCTAAAGATGGGAGAACAATTTTGAGAGCAGCCGGCCACAACCTTTACGGTACCTGCGAGCTAGAAGAATGTCCCGGGTAATTCTGTCAATTTGGGAAAAGATGGAAGAAAGAGGAACACAGATGTTGTCATGAGTTCTTATGTTTCTTTCCTTCCAGAGAAGAAAAACAGTGGCTTGAACAACGATGCGCTTCAACGTGGTGGAGAGGTTTGGAGACTTGGACAACAACCAGGAGATGAGAGTTGACCAATCTGCAAAGACGCAAGAAGGCTGACCAAGCCGAGACATGACGATGTGCCAATTTTTATTTTTATTTTTAGTGTCCGCATATTTGATCTGTGTAACTAACTACACACATCCTCATATACAAATAGTGAAATAGACCTTCTTTCACCGTTGCACACAATCCATTCACGCGTTGTTATCCTTCCAAGTTCCAAATCGTACCAAAACTTTTGCCGGTGAAAGTTTCTTTACGCCAAAATAACTTCCTACTTAGGCAGAAGGTTCATACTAATTCTAAAGAACATCGAGTTTCAAAGAGAGACAAAAACATAATAAATTACAATAATGAATTATTGAATCATGTAAACGAGTGTCCACATTTCTCGAACAAGTACAACAATCTATCACCTAACTCTTCGGAATTCACCTGGCCATTTTCCATCTGAAGATGCAAAGAGTAAAAGAGTCGCTCTCCTTGAGACCTTGAAGATGAAGCATCCACAAGAACCAACCCATCTTCTTCTACTCCACTCAGCACATTCCCAAACGAACATTTTTCAGCCTGTAACGATGAAATTTGGACCATCACTTCGGTCTCGCCGAGCCTTGTCGCAGAAACTGTTGACGCATAACTTGTGATCGTTTTCTCTGGCTTACTGTTTTGGCCGGTAGAAACGAGATCTCTTCGACCCGAAATTTGAAACGACAGCTCTTCTTTCTTCTTTATGAGATTTTTAACTTGCTCTTGCAGCTCTGGTATGTACTTCAAGGCCTGTGAAACTGTTGCGGAAACACTTAACTTCTTCTGCAAGAAATACACAAAAAAACAGGACAGATCTTTCAGGTTTCTTATATTACTATGGACCGTTTTTTTTTTCGTTAAAACACACAACATAACAATATTACTGCTTGTAAGTTTGTTCAAAAAAAAAAAAAAAAAAACAATATTACTGCTTGTATCACCATCAAAATTGCGAAAGCAAATGAATAAGAAGTTTTAGTATTTGCAAGAAAACATTTTATATATATTTTTTCTGTTGAACGTTTAACTAGTAAATCTTCAAAATTTTAGAAATAAACAAATAATATGGAATTAATGGTTACCGATTGATTGGTGGCCGGAAGACAAGAACGAAGAGATGAGAACATTGCGTTGATCTTCTTGCGACGCTCACGCTCGCTCGCGTTGTGATTAAGTTTCTTCATCACCACGGGATTGTCTAGTAATATTCTATTATTTTCCGATGACACATTCTGATGAGTCACCGTCAAGTCCGGCAACGGAAAATCAAGAAACGTGTTGGTTACGTCTTCGTTTTCATAGAAGCTATTATCTCCGCAAGGCCAGCCGAAGTTGGGATATAATGGAGGGACAAGTGCACACATTTTTGTGTTTTAGATAGTTAAAGACTCTGTTTTTGTGTGTCTCTCTCTAGAAGCTGTTTTCGGTTGGGATTATGCTTGTGAGTTAGTTGGATTATTTATGTCTCACTCATTTATATTTATATAGTTTGTATACACAAACACGGATACAAGAAAAATAAAAACAAAGAAATAACTCTGTATGTTGTATTGTATACTCAATTATAGACTAAAATACATGGGATCACGAGTGGACATGCGTTGACACGTGGTTGAGCACTTTTTCCCCAAGTAGGAGCATGTTCGAATGATCACCTGTTGACCTACAGATACATGCATTTTCTACAGAGATATTAAAATCTTAATTATAACATAATAGTTTATACTAGCTAGTGTTAATGTCGTATAGTTTGCACGAATGTATGAGTATAAACCAAAAATCTCTAAATTTTTCCTAATATGACAAAAGATATATTCGATTTAGTAAGCAAATTAACATTAAGAAAAAATAATAGTTAAATATGTAGGAACAATTATTTAAGAACACATATTATATGTTAGTACGTTAAGAAAGCTTACATTAAATCCAAAAAAAATGTATTATGATGCAGCTGGAAGAAAAGAGACAGACACTGAGAACAAAACACGGGAATACACAGGTTTGGGCGTTTGGCGGACGTGGACTATTGAGCGGCACGAGCAAATCACGTGGAATATGTTAAGGCTTTTCGCCAGAATCCAACCATATCTATTTAGTAAGTAACCAGTAATCATGTACATATGCATTGCGTGTTTATTTATATTGAACAAATGTATATTCCTTATTTAAATTTATTAATAACTAGATCTTATATGGTGTAGTGTCTATATAACTAAAGTCATTTTTATTACATACAGAAGTCAACTCCGGTCATCTCGGTCAGGCCAAAAGCCTTGATTCTATTCTATCCACGGACGAGGATAAAGAGACGGCTATATTTGGGATATTTTCCTCATTTTTCTAGTTAAATCTAAAGATCTTAATGGGCTTCTCTAAAACAGATGGGCCCTAAGATAACTCCTAGTTAGGCCCTAATGTTAGGAGTTGAGTATATATAGGTTTTATTCAATACTAATTAGTGTGGGTTTTGTATGCTTATTCAAATGATATTTTATCTATTGTTCTGAAATAATATTTTAGTTGATGATAATGATGTTAATTGTAGTCACTTTTGATGTTTGTAACTTTATATAAGCAAATGTCGAAAACAGTACAATACTTCTGCTCGGATTAAGAACGATCATGAAGCTTTATTGATCTTTTTATTATACATTGTTTGCTGATTTTCTACATTAGCGGCAACATATATTACACACATTATGCTACAAAAGAGAAATCAAATGTACAAAACTGATCACAAAAAAAGAAGAAGCTAAAGCTGAAGTCTGAACATGTCTGAACCATTTCTCTCATGCTTTGCTTCAGACCTTCACTCCTATCCGTTGAGCAACCTGCAGAACAAAACAAAAACACATTCATTTCAAGTTAACCAATGATATTTCAACTCTAGGAAGATTTGAGCAAAAGCAGAGATTCTTTTACCTGTTTAAATGAAGTAACTTCACTTCCCCAGAGCCAAGCGTCACAGCCTGCGTCTCTAGCTCCCCATAAATCATTCCTACGGTCATCTCCTACATGAACCGCATCCTCAGGATTCACTTCTAATAACTCACAAGCTTTCAAGAAGATAGTCGGGTTTGGTTTCTCCGCTTCAACCTGTGAAACAATCAACCAAAAACCTTAAGTATTTACACACTCACTCCCAAAACGTATCGGATCATCAACCAAAAGATATAAAGGAAAGAAAGTTATGTTACTTCTGCTGAAACAGCTACAGCATCAAACCAGTCATCACATCTCAGTGCACGTAGGAGTGGTCTTAACCGAGTATCGAAGTTGGACACAATTGCAACTTTCACACCCGCTTCTTTAATAGCCTTAAACACTTTCCCTGCATCTGGGTCACATAACATCCACGCCTGGGCAAGCATATGGAGAAATGTCATGATAAAGAACCAAAATTTAAAAGCGTTCCTAAAGCATATGAAGAAGTAGTAGCGGAGATCAAACCTGTTCTGTAGTAAAATAACTGTAAAGCTCTTCAAAGTACTGAGAATCCGAGCAGCCAGTAGATTCAGTCACTATATATTGCCAGAAAGGTCTCGCATCGTTTACATATCTGCAAATAAAGAATCAAAAATCAAGAACACCACACACCAAATCGCTCTTAAGCAGAAGACATTTATGAATCCCACAGAGATTCTACAGCAAATGTATATTCCAAAGAGTCAGTTTTAAACATGATATGCATCACTAGAGACATATTCACGATCAAGTATTAGATTTTGTCATACAAACAAATAGAACCACAGCCCACAGGAGAACCTTTTGACTAGTGGTGATTTTCTTGGAGTAGAAGAAACACAAAGAGGAAGAAGATGATAAGCGTACCTAAGATGAGATCCACCCCATGGTTTCTGATAAGCTCTTCTGTATCTAGTAAGTATCTCAGCCTCCGAGTACTCCACTCCATACTTCTCACCAATATTCTTGTATATCTACAAAACCAGAATCCATAACACAACTTAGAATCTACACACAGAAAACTCCAATTCAAATCTTCTAGGGGCAAGCAGAGATCATAAATAACACGAGATTCAAGCATCTCACACATCTCCAACATAAACAAAATTCAAACACTTAAGCATCAATCGCTTTCAAATTGATTAACCTTACTCAGAATCAGACATCGATCCTCAAAATGTTCATAGTTTTCGAATCACATTTGTTCAACCGTTGAATCACAAAGAAAACAGAGAAATTGAGAGACCTGAGCCGTAGGTTGAGCGGGAACAAGGAGAGTACCAACAGCATCAACAAGCAAAGCCTTATGCGTGATCTCACCATAGAGAGATCTCCTATAATCTTCATACTCCTTCAATACACTTCCCAATCCGTAAATCCCACCAGATTCATCCTCCGCCACAACAGCGGAAGATGACGAAGCAGAGGAGATCCAACGGCTCAGCAATGCTCCGGTTCTCGCGATCCGATCCGTCCCACCGGAATAGAGAAGTGTCGTCGTCGCCTTCCTGATTCTTAACAACGCCATTAGCTTCTCTCTGTGATTGATTGATTGTTCCGTTGTCTTCGGCTTCTTCTCGGGATTATAAAGGAGAAGGAGAATCTTTAACGCATTACCCATAAAGATATGTGTTATTACGTTTATACCCTTTCATATTATTATCCGTCTTACAGTTTTTCTACCCTATCCATCCGCTAATCAAAGGAACTGATGATGTGGCATTTTTATTTTAAATAACAATTGTTACACTCTTTAAATTTTAATTTTAAACCATATGCGTATTTATATAATCATATGAAAGAAGGGGTAGTGTTTGAATTTTTGTTTTTAAAGTTCAGATCCAGATTAAAATAATGGTTTTTGACACAAAACGTATAGCTTTCTCTTTCTTTTTCTTTAAAATAAAGTAAAATAGATTTATCTTTTTCAATCAGAATTATTTATCTTATTATAGTAATGATTGATAATGGATGGGTGTTTTACATGCATTCTTAAACAATACAAACTTCTCTACTTGTCTGATTGATGATATATTAATCATTTTGAAACATCAAATTAGCCAATAAAAAAAAGGAATGAATGCATACAACTAGTTTAGTTTACTTGTATTATTTTCATATCGAGAGGATATTATTATTTAGTGGGAAAACGGTATGCTTCATTTGGATAAAATTAAGGGTCATGAAAAGAAAAAAATGGGCAATATAATTGGGCCCTGACCAATTATGTGCCATGGAAAGTAATATAAGGATATAAATGAATAAACGGTCGATTTTAGAGGGACCTCTTTAGAAATATGTGGCTTAGAGTGACAAACGGGCCCACACAATTTAAGAGTATAGTTTTGGGCCATTTTATGCATAAGGCCGAACTCACCGAGGTGGCTAACGGAAATGTTCAGTTCCACAAAATTTGTTAAATAATATTCCAAAATATATCTGGTTGTTTTGGTTTATTTAATGAGCTTTTCGATTAATTTCGTATCGAAGAACGAACAAATTCAGATTTGGGTTTAGTATTTCTTTTGGATATATATTGAATCCTTTAGACGTATGTGATATAAAGACATCATGATGTTAAAGAAGATTAGAAAAGTCTGATGATAAGGAAACAGAAATCCATAATTGGACCCATTTTGGAGAATTTTGAGTGTCATTGCTCTTTTTTTTTTTTTTTTTTTTTTTTTTTTTGTCAAACCGCTTCGTATTAATCAAAAGTTTGAGAATACACAGCGAGAGCTTCTTTAGCTAATCCATCCGCAACAACATTGGAGGCTCTGGGGATAAAGCAGCAAGAAAAGAACTTAAAACGACTAATACAATCGAAAATATCCACCATGATTCCATGAATTTCTACAAGGAGGGACAGAGACGCGATTGCTTTGATGAGGACTTGACAGTCCGAGAACAGCAGAATATCCTGGTGACCCAGAGAAGATGCTGAATGCAGAGCCGTACGGACGGCTAAAGCTTCCGCAGCTAGCGGAGAGGAGACATGCTCACAAAGAGCCGAGTTCTTCCTTAGTAAACGTCCTAGAGGCGACATAGTCCATCCTAAGCCCGCTGCCCTAGAAGCCCTATTCCAGGAGGCATCAGTATGGATTTCCAGGGTAAGAGGACTCTTCTTTAAAGGGATAGTCCTATCAGGCTGTCTGCAAATCTTTTTCAGGTTTTGCTCCTGTGCCCTTTGCCACTCTGTGGCATCTTGGATTGCCTTCAGAATGATTTCTTTTTCACCAAAACAAGTTTTAGAGAAAACCCTTTGGTTCCTAGAGGTCCAAAGGGTCCAGCAAATCCAAGGGAATAGAGTACAGTGCCCCAATCCCACTGGAGGGAGCGTCTTTCTTTGCTTGATCCATTGCAGGCCCGAGCTTACATCTGTGAAAACAGGAAAGGAGTCCATACCTTCCAAAGGCGCCAGTTGCCACACTTTCTGAGCAAATTGGCAGTTAAACAAAATATGATTAGTGGACTCAATGTCTCTGCATCTAATGCAGGAAGGTTCAAAAGATGGAATTCTTGTGGCCAGCTGTGCTCCAGAGGGGATTGCACCATTCAAAGCTTTCCAC